TTAAAATCTCCCCCAATTATTACCTTACAATCATATTTAGTGGAAAAAGTAACCAAATTATTTTCTAACTGATCAAATAAATATGGGTTTATAAAGTTAGAACCTTCAGGAGGCCTATACACACTTGCCACTATTAAGACTGGGCTTTTCTTATGTTTAATTAGAGACCATACTGAATAACTATCCTTATATATATATTCAATATCAAATTGAGCAATATTATTTTGATTAAATAGAATGGATATTCCCCCCGAGGCCCTCCCGAATTTCTTTTCTTTACACCAGCGTTATGTATGGTTTGAAAATCAAATTGTGAATCAACCCATGTTTCGAGAAGACACACAAAATAAAAGACTTAACATAGTTCAAAAAATCAGGTCTAATAGTTTTCCGTATAAACCATTGATATTCTAAAATAACAAATTTGAAATCTGTGGTTTCACACCTAGCAACTGCATTGTCAAAACTCGGGCTTTGACCTCCTTCCTATGGTAGCAATGGCGACGAATAATTCAGGCTACGCAGTGGTTTAATGTTCTTCATTACCTCGTCATAAATATACACAGTGTCATCGATTTTAATTTTATCGTACAAAACCTTAACTGTTTTACCTTCTGTTCTTGCATCCACCACAAATTTACCTAATTTTCGGCGTAGATCTCTGATTTTAGGAGTGAAGTCCTCGCGAATACGGAATTCTGTTCCTTTTAATTTCACAGCAGCACGTAGAACTTCATCCCTCTGTTTATACCTAAGAAACTTGCCTATTATTGGTTGTGGTCGGCTACGGGCATAAGTTAAACGGTGAACAATCTGAAATTCTGTGAACCGTGAACTGTGAACCGTCAATATTCAGTTTATCAGTAATAAGTCCACGTAGTAACTCTTCCGCCTGTTCCTATGTTTCCAAACCACTCTGTGGAATGCCGTGGAAAATTAAATAAAATTGTTCCGTAACATGTGCGCCTTAGTTTTATCACCTGCATTTTCCATTGTGTCAATGTTATCACTCAATTGTTTATTTTGCTCAATCAGTTCATTTATTTTCTGTCGGTTGTTATCAACGCCAGATTTCAAGGCTCTCATTTCATCAGCAAGCTTACGAACCACATCATCTAGTGCTGAAATTTGTACTTTCAGTTCCTTTTTAAACCCACGCAATTCCATCATTATATCGGCAAGCGTAAGACTGGACTCACCTTCATCCTCGCTGAGTCTTGCATATACTTGCATATAACCAGACGACATTTTTTTTCTTCTTAGTTTGACCAATCAGTCTTGGTTGATTACCAAAGTTTTGTATAAATTCAAGCCTTAATTTATATTATTATTAGTCGTGGGTTACTGATGCTACTGTTGTGGTTAATCACGGATGACTATATACTGACGTTTGTAGAGAATATATCGTGGGACTATTTATCACTTCTCAGATATTCTGTGTGGTTTATCAGACCGCATAGAACTCTGGAACTCCTGGAAGTAAGTTCGGTAATACGTAGAACCATACTCCCGGGGGGTACTAATATTGAAGTGCTATATGTATATGTGCCGCCAAAAAAGGTCCCAAATTCACCATTTCTGTCTGAAAAGGGGTATGTTATTTTACTCTGTCTGTCTGAAAAGGGGTATTTTTTTCATTATTTCTGTCTAAAAAAGGTTCCATATTTTCCAACAACCAGGGCAATGAAGCTGATTTTTTTTTTCTTTCTGTAACTTCATTTCGATCGTCAAAGTCCATCTCCGGGAGTCTACCTGCTTTTCCCTTGGTACCATTTATGCTTACTGTCTGGAAAGGGGTGTCAAATAACCACAGTGTGTCTGAAAAGGGGTAGGCAATTTGAGTGTATTTCTGTCTGATAAGGGGTAGGGGTTACAAACAACCAGCTACACACCCCTGTCAGTATTTTTTGCAAGTACCCCCCCGGGACTAAACTCCTAGTGATATTCATTTTCAGTATATTCTGTATGACGTCACGTTATGTATGTGATCCTTAGAGGTTAATAATTAGAGGTTTACATGAATAACCTCTTTATAATACATGCAAAGACCGAAAACGTTAAAAACAACGTATTCATGTTGTGTGATCGCCACCGTAAACGACAGATACGTAATTTGACCCCTTGCGTAATAATATGTTGATTTCGTCATCGTTTACATACATTCAAAATTCAACATAATGTTGATGTTTCACCAACAATATTTTCATATACAGTGGTCAATAATAAAGATATTAGCCAGTAGTAAAATGCGCCTAAATGCATTAATTTTTCGCAATTTATTTATAAGTAGGACACTGTGATGGCAATGAAAGCTCGTTTAACTATATGGTTATTATCAGGAATATTACACTAGATAACTTTTCAGGAAGTAGCAAAACTGGGGTGCAAAAATACTCCTGCTTTGTCATGGCGGAAAATAGAAACGTGTCAGTTTGCTGATATTCGATAGAAGGGCATTTATTTTTGTGACGTCGAAGGGGATTGGCAAGAGAGGATGCCGTCCGATCAGGATGAAACGTATCGAAGTCAGTCAGTCAGCCAGTCAGTCAGTCTGTAGCCCATCGTTGAAGTAACAACAATAATTTTACGAACATATGAAATAATTTCAGCGATTTCTTTACAGAATAATTCTTAACGAAATATAGGAACATCACATAGAAATATACAGTTTCTAAAATTATGTCTATTGAAAACAATTCAACCGACAACAAATTGGACGTCATTAATTTCTTGCTGGAGTGAGTTCTATGCGTGAATTTATTGCGTTCAAAATTGCTCCATTTTAAATAGTGATTTCTCGAAATGCATACTTGTCACTGGTAAAAATTATTGAAAACATTTTGAGACATTTTTGAGCAATAGTACTACGGGAAATATCAACGTGCTTCAGCATTCTCTATGAATTCCGTAACTTGCTATGAACTGTGGTTACTTTCAACAGATTGCTGGAGTCTGATCAAAAATGTGTCTCAAAAACACTTTGACATCAGTTTTTCCTCGATTATTTTGTCAGCTTGTGATGATGAGTCAATTTATAACTATCATGTTGGCTACAGGAAAGCATTTTTGGTACAGTTTTACTGAAAAGAATTTTTCCTTGCTCATGAATATTAATTTATGTAAATGAGACTCTTTTTTCAGCAAATCGTGTCATGCACGTCAGACTGAAGTGTTTTCGTCATCGTCTGCGTTCACTGAAATGATTCTATAAAATTCTAACAGTACATTGTTTGCTATAAGCACGGAATGTGCTCAATCCGAACATTGAATTGAACGCAAAAACATAACAAGTATCAAGCAATTACGACGCTTACCACTGAAAAAGAAGGCACAGCAACGTATAAACACGAAATACTACGATCTTTCATCAATTTAAATATATCTTTGGCAGCAACTTCAGCAGTGCGAGTGATATTATGTATACGATCCATGATCCCACATGGTTTGTTATTTCGACCACATCTGCAATAAAGTCAAACATTTAGTATCTACAATTGAAACTGTTACAGTATATCCACGCGATCAAAAAGACGAAAGTGATCTAATGTGCATTATCAAATTCTCACTAATTTATTAAATAATTATTTCCGAAGATAAAAAAAATGTTCTGTTAAACCGATCAAAACATTAGTATTTGTGTATCTAATGTTTATTAAAAGTGTGTTAATACCTAATGTGGATAAAATGAAGATAATTGTATGTTATCATGATTTCCAAATATTTGACTGCATCTAAAAGTACATCTAGAATGTTAGACTGTCAATAATTGGGTGAATATAACAAATGTGGACTTGCGAAGGAATTACAAAGATACATGATTATCACACGCTTGGTGCAGACCTACCCCTTTTCACTCGGACCAAGGATTAGTTTTATGTGTTTCGAGATAAAATGTTCTTACTTCGCAGTTAGTGAAGTGTTTCATTCACTGAAAAAGTCGTTCCATTAGTAAATGCCACTGAAACCACTCAGTGTAAATATGATGTTGTTGAGCGCATGTGAGTGAGCCCGTGATGAGTTGCGCTGATGGATGTAATGGCCACGTGTGTTTAAAATGCAATGGTCGTCGCGTCAGGTATGCACGAGATATGGGTCACATAAAAATTGTTAATGGGTGCCAAAGCCAGTGTCATCATATGGTAAACTTGTCAGTGGGTTAACAGTGCCCAGACTGCAAAATAAAGTTTAGCTAAAGGACACTTACGCCTCTCCTGATCTGTTCCTCCAATGCAATGCCATGAAAGGATCACCGTCACAGAGTTTACCAGCCACATCATCGGCCATTTTCATTATATACTTCGGTGCCCTGAGATGAGAATGCACTTTGTAATACTGTTTTGTAAGAGCAGGGAATTCCCACCTCGTGTCTATACCCGGATCTAATACTCCAAGACATTTTGTATCAGGCGGATTCAACAGCAGCTCTTCCGCCTGTTGGCTGTTTTCCGGAATATGGGAGGAATCTGGTAACTTGATTCCATACCGTTTTTCTAGTCCATCACGTTTAAATTTAAAGCGCTCGAGGTATTCTGGTTTTGTTTTGACACTACCCATTCTGTAATAGGGATGCATTAGTAACCTCTCAACAGTACTGTTACAGTCTTTTCTAAATTCGTCGACTAATGCTACATCAACTATTTCACCGAGTGTCTGCATGTCGAATGTCTCGTTGAGAAACCGTATACTCTTTGCGCCAGATGTCCAGTGAGTTCCAAACCAGTTTTCGACCACAGTGCGTCCATATGCCAGAGCAAATGCGACTCCTTTAGCGAAAGAACCATATTGTACATTGGGCCCGTTGTAATCCCAATGTAACGGAAACAGATATCTTCGTGTTTTTTTGGCCGGTGCGTCTATTTTATTATTTTTGTCACTTCCCGGCTGGGATTGTGTATTGTGCTTGTCGTTGTTTCCGACAATTTGTTTGTCAGGTTTACCATTTTCAATCTTTTGTCCAACAGAATGACTCTCATTTGCTTTAGAGCTTATGTCCTTGGGAGTCTTTATTGCATCACCTGGCTTATTTTTTGAGTTTTCTTGTTTACTCGTAGTTTGTTGTTTTATCTGGAAATAATAGTTAGTATGTCAGTACAAATTACTTTTAAATCCTGAAAACATTTTGCATCATACGAATTTAATTTTCCTTTCCCACTTATTTCATTGAATTCATAAGAGGGTCTACCAACTACTCTATAAGACCTTTTACTAAGCTGCCAACCATTTGTATAGACATTTATTTTTACGCACAGACGAGGTACACCTGCGCATGTATATGTTATGCAATAATTAGTTATATAATTCACCGTCATATAAACGATTGAATAAATGGAAAAACCGACAGTGCTTCGTACCAACAACATTAAGAATAGATTTATCTACATATGCCATTATCGAGTCACCCCAACAATAAAACTATCGCATTTTATTACAATTGGTTTGAGATGAACAAACTCAAACAAACTGTTTTATGTGGGATGAGTTCAATAACAGTCACGGGATTGATCAAACCTATTCCAATGAACATATCACAATTTGTGTAATACAGCAGTATAAAATTGTTGATATCTCTTTACTACGTAAGAGAAATCGTAGGTTCATGTAAGCAAATGAGCTTCTGACATCACGCCAAAATACGTCAGCATCTCAATATGTGATTTTGTGTTATATATTTTGAAGGTTTGTTAGGAATGGTAATAACTCGAACATTTTTGGTGGTTTAGAATGGTTTGGGTATTTGTACCTTTGAGGATTGTGTAAAACACAGATTGAACATTAGAAAAGCTTCTCAGAAACCGTAAATGTATTGGTCTGAAACTAGAGCAATTACTTTACACATCACATAGGATTACGTGTTCATGAATTGTGACCATTTACGCAAATGTGACAAGTCGTTCTACAATCTTTTGAATACGCGTTCAAAAGTTGCGATTCTTATACAAGCTGTTTTGTGGATTGTAAGCTGCAACGGGGATATTTGTGATAAATGGGTCAACAAACGAAAATAATTACACGAGCTCAATGAGATTGATATATATTTGCATGAGATATAGTTGTTCTAGTTTCAGGCATTCGTTTATGCTATTCAGAATGCTATACAATATGAAATCACGAACACGGATGTAGTTCCAGCTGATCACGATGTATAAACAATGTTATGGACACGCAGTTGTTCCTATCAATGCCAAACAGCATCTGATATAGAAAGCATCATTACAGCGTTGTAGATTGACAAAACACACAATATGACATAACGTCAAGGTTCAAATCAAAACCTACATTAAATGATTCAACATGTGCAGTGCTGTCATTGCCCGTCTTATTGAATGTCTTGTTCAGCTGTCGATCTGCAACTCCTTGCTTCTTGTCAGGTTTATTATTTTCAATCTTTTGCCCAACTGAATGACTTTCGTTTGCTTTAATGGTTATGTTCTGTGAATCCTTTATTGATTCTTTATCACTTTTTGAGGTTTCTTGTTTACTCGTCGTTTGTTGTTTTATCTGGAAATAAAAGTCAGTAAGTCAGTAAAAATTTCATTTGAATCTGGAAAATATTCCGCATCATGTGTTTCTCATTTGTGAGATCGTTATTATCGCATATTGATCACAGTTTATAATCGTCTACCATCCATTTATAATGGCATTGCTCTTTATGCAGGTACGAGATACAGCTGCTAATATAGTAGTTTATGTTTTATAATCTGTGACGTAAATATTTGGAATGAGCAGGATAAAACACGAAAATAAGTACACGAGTTCAATGAATGCGATATAATTGTGCATGAGATATATTTGACATTAGTTGTCCTAGTGCTCTAAAACGGATTCTGAAATGTACGATTGCATTCATTTATCACAAAATATTCACGGTACTATGAGATAATAAATTTACGATGGCTGTCACACATCCGGGACTGGACGTATATGCTATTCAGAACACTAAACAAAACAAAACACGAGCATGGATTTCAAGCTGATCACGGTGTATGGACAAGGACTGTGTCAGCTAATGAACGTTCAATTGTTTCTGTGAATACCAAACAGTTCACCATCTGAGCGACTGATACAAAAAGCATCAACAATGCGTTGTACAGCGACAAAACACACAATATATGACATAACGTCCATCTATTCACCCTACTATAACATGTAATCAAAACCTACAATAGATGGTCCAACATGTGCAGTGGTGTCATTGTCCGTCTTATCGAATGTCTTGTTCAGCTGTCGATCTACAACTCCTTGTTTCTTTTGCCCAACTGGACGGCTCTCGTTTGCTTTATGAGATATTTTCTGTGGATCCTTTATTGCCTGACCTGGCTTACTTTGTGAGTTTTCTTGTATATTCGTCTTTTGTTGTTTTACCTGAACATGATAGTCAGTATGTCAGTACAAATATATTTTAAATACTAAACACACTTTGGGTCGTGTGAATATAATTTGTACTTATTTATTATTCATATCAATTTAAAATGACATATTGTTTTATTATGCATAATGATCTCAAAAATTAAAAACTAGTCCTTTCATGTTTTAACCCATGTGTTCATATCTCGAGTAACATTTATAAAGGTCTACCATTTACTCTATAAGTTAAATAGTTCTTATTGCAGTTTGTACTACTCTGCCATTCATTTCTATTAACATGTCTTTGTACGTAGAGACGGGATACACCGGTCAATAATGTTGTTCTGATACCATGTAAATAATAATCACTTTCAAATGTATTCGAAATGATCATATGTGTATATGTCACCAATAACAATCGATTCATATATATATATTGTGCTGTAATTATTCATATAATTAACAGCTTTGTGAATAATTAAATTAATAGGTCCGACACTAATTTGAACCAACAATGTATAAGGAATACATTTAACAACATACACAATTTTATGTTGATACAAGTAATGCTAAACAATAGACCTGTCATATCTCATTAAAATTGGTTTGGCATGGACAAACTAAAACAGTCTGTTTTATGTGGGATAGTTCATATAACAGTCGTGGATTTTTAAAACTCATTTCGATAGACGTATCACGATCTACCCCTTATACATTAGTTGTTCCATGCAAAATAGCAGTGTCATATTTATTGGAATCTCTATACTGTGTAGGAAAAATCCTAGCAATATCAATGGAAGCGAATACACTTTTGACATCATGCCAAAATATCGCAATGGGTTGCTGATTTGATGATATATCTTTTGAAGAATGTTTAGGAATAATACTAATTCGAATATTTATGGTAGTATGTGATGTCAGCTACGGTATTTGTGGTAAACTAAAATGAAAGAAACTTCCCTGCAACCGATGGTCTCAAAAATAGAACAATTACTTAATCGCATGGTACGTGTTCATAAATCATGACCAATTATGTAAATATTATAGGGCGCTGAACGAGTTGTGAACACACGTTCACGCGTTATCATTAGTTTGTTGCGTATAAGCTGTGATAGCATTTATCACTGAACATTTACGTTACTGAGACACCATCGAATTGCAGCCGAGACTAAATTTATAAGATTTTCAGAACAGGAGCAGATTGCGAGCACGGATGTGTGGCAAGCTGATCACGGTGTATTGTTATTTGCTTCTGTCTGAACGACTGATATAGGAAGCATCAGCACTGCGGTGTACACCGACAAAAAATACACGATGTGGCATAACGTCCATCTATTCACCCTGCATGTTCTCATCAAAACCTACAATAGATGATCCTTTATGCGAAGTGCTGCCCTTGACCGTCTTATCTAATGTCCTGTTCAGCTGTTGATCGACGACTTCTTATTTCTTGTTAGGACCAGTTATATTCTCAGCCACATCTGTAATTCCATCCTTCTGGTTACTATGATTAACGCCGAGAATCCTTTCAGCAGTCTGCCTCGCTACTGGTTTCACTCTTTCAACAAACGTTTTCACCGAATCGTGCATCATATACAGTTCTAAGCCGACAATGGCGACACACATCCACGTGAATAAGTACAAAGTTACTCTCATAGCAACAGCATTTGTCGTTGTCTCTTCTTCACTTTACGGTGCAATATGATGTACGGCTTACCGACCACCAATTCGATAAATGAACGTTTGTACTATGAATGCTAGCACAAGCTGTCACGTGATTAGGAATGACAGGTGTCCAATATTGGTAATGAGACCAATTGTTCAAATATATGACCATGGGGAATTCATCGTAAGGGCGCGACATTGTGACCCGATGATCCGTGGAGCAAGTAAATGACTAATTAATTAAAAGTTGGAATAATCTCACCAATAAAATCCCCAACCCGGCCCACTACCTCACTCCCGCCTGCCCAAGCAAATATACCACAATGAATTGCACAATTCACGGCATACATGCATGGTGAATGCATATATCAAGTACATTGTGTCATGTCAAATACATGAGTCCATGATAAAAAAAACTAACAATGGGCACTGAAACTAGCAGTTTGTCATTTGTGTTGCAGCGTACATTCTAACATTCTGTAGTCTCATTAATGTTATTTTTGAATTGGGTTTTCCACACAGTCAAGACAAATTTGTTCTGATGGCTCGTGATACTCGCTAGAGCGAACTGGTGGTTATATGATTGATATATAATGTCAACATTTGGGTTTGGGTTTGATTTGAGGACACTGCTTTTAGGAATCAACGATCGGTTGAAGTAAGTTGACATGGGATTTGGAACTTTGCGAAAATCAGTCCAAAATGCAGCATACGAGTGTGACCCAATGGAAAAATGGTTATAATAAACAATCAACTGAAGGAGTTTTACATGTCAACGCACTACATATCACTAATATGGCTTAAATTGTGTACAATTTTAAAAAAGAAAATTGACACAAGTTTTATTCGAAATTCACAGAATATTTCTTTACTTCTAGATGGCTTGTTAATAAACCGTCAAACACACATATCCAAGACCACGTTCAAACCAACGCACACGGCAACTCCGTATGGCTGTCGGCGTTTTTTCTCCACGCTACCCACTCGTCCACCCGGTAATAACTATCAATCGGCTGGGGTTCGGAATAAAGATTAAACAAAGATATATTGAAAGAACATTAACACATGTTTTTGGGGGAACGCTGCATGAACGTCTTCTTAATACTTGTTGCTCCCACTGGAACATAAGGTTAACACAATATCTCTCCACTCAACACGGTTTTTAGCCTTGGTTTCTGCCTCTCCCCATGTTAAACCCATTTCCCTGAGTACTTGCTCAATGGTTCTCCGCCAGGTGTTCTTCGGCCTGCCCTTCGGTCGTTTTCCTTGTGGCGTCCAGCGGAGAGCTATCTTGGTGTTGTATGAATCGAGCATTCTGAGAACATGCCCAAGCCATCTGAGTCTTCTAAGCCTTATTTGTGCAATGATGAAGGTGGCTCCAGTGATTTTGAGTAGGTCAGAGGTGGATATTCGACAGGGCCAGAAAACTTTGCAGTTTTGGTGAAAACTTGATAGCTTTTTTATGTAAACCTTGGTGACCCTCCAGCTTTCGCTCCCATACAGTTAAATTGCATTATAACATTGCTGTTATAAATTTTGACTTTAGTGCTGATGTTATACTGGCTAGATTTCCATATGGGCCACAACCTTTGAAATGCAGACCTTGCTTTGGCTAGTCTGCTTTTAATGTCCTTTTGTGTGGGGTCCTCATTGCTCGCGACTGCACCTAAGTAGGTAAATTGGACAACCTGCTCAATTTCTGCTCCATCAATAACCAGTCTACTGTTGCATGTGGTGTTGCGCCTCATTTCCTGGGTCTTCGTTGTGTTAATTTGGAGTCCAATTTGTTTGGTCTTCTCCTGCATTTGATCTTGCTTAAATGACAGGAGCGTAATGTCATCTGCAAAGTCCAGATCTTCTATTACTGAGAACATAGACAAGGTGATCCATCTCCTAAGATCGCTGGTGGTCTTATTCATCACCCAGTCAATGACTACTAAAAATAAGACAGCCTTGTCTTACACCAGAATAAACTGTTAGTTGCTTTGATGTTTAGTAGAACTACACACTCAAATTCTGTGTAGAAGCATTTGATGGGGGAAACCATCCTGTCTGGTACTCCATATGATCCAAGGATTGCCCAGAGGGTGTCTCGATGAATGCTATCAAAAGCTTTTTTGAAATCTATATGTTTATGTATAGAGATGATTTCCACTCTATACACTGCTCAATGATGTTTCTGAGAGCAAATAACTGGTCTGCGCATCCTCTTCCTTTCCGGAATCCCGCCTGTTCTTGCCTCAAAGTCAGGTCAAGTGTTTTGTTGATTCATTGTGGATTCTTCAGAAAACTTTGCTTGGGATTGAGAGTAAGGTAATCCCACTCCAGTTATCACAGTTCCCAAGATCATTTTTCTTAGGTAATTTTACAATCAAGACTTTTGCCCAGTCACTTGGGATCTTGGTGTTTTTTCCCCAGATGTGATTGAACAGGGTCTATAATTCATTGCTAGCTGTTTCAATATCTACTTTCAAGAGCTCGGCTGAAATTCCATCTATGCCTGTCGATTTGCCTGTTTTCATGGCTTTTATTGCTGCAACTACTTCATCTTTAGATGGAGGATCTGTGTTTATTTCAAGGGCATCATATTGTGGACAGCCTTCAATGCAACTAGTGGCTCTGGCCTGTTCAATACCTCTTTAAAGTGTTCTACCCAGCGTGCTTCCTGCTCCTTCTCAATTGTGATAGTGTTCGATATGGGACTCATAGCGACGTACATAACTCGTGTGAAATACAATATTTGTTTACAAGAAATTCAAACACGCGCTGCGCAACGACCACCATGCTTTGCGAAGAAATAACATTTTGTATGAATTCACTGCTATGCACGGTGTGTAGACGTTTAATTCAATCATATACTGTCGTCGTGTGATGCACATGTTATCGCATATACGACATGGAAAGCAGCATAAAATCCGCGTTGCCATTGGTAAAGCACACTTTTTGTATTGTCGGAATGAAAATACAGAAAATGGCATATGCTTCAGCATATTATATCGCCGATTTACATCTATGTAGTTGCAATTGATTCAAATCGGCCGTACAGAATAATGCAAACAGCTCGTTACAACAACAACTTGTGTCTGCTAGACCGTGTTGGGGGTGTGAGGGGGGGGGGTTGTGTTTATGTGTCGTGAGTTGTCTGGATTTAAAATGGATCTGTGAAAATATTGAACTTAAAAAAACAACCAATAAAATAATTATTATCTTATTATTATCTTTTTATTAATACAAGTGCAATTGTTTGAGTTTACAATTGGCCACACAGTGAAAGTACACAGATATTTTGTGTATACGTTGTCACAATGATGACACCTTTTCACAATAACACCCTACCGTAGTCAATATATAGT